ACCAACCAAACTCACTGCCGTGTGTCCGTTCCGACTCAGAGGCGAACTGGCCCACTGCGTTTCCAAGGCTGGAAATCTTTACGGAAGCAGACTGTCTCATCTATCTCCCATGGGTTCAAACCACGTACCTTTTGACTGGAATTCTAGTGTGGCCCTGTAGGATCAGCCCTGGACTGCAAACCACAAGGTCAGCAGTTCAAACACACCAGTTGCTCTTTGGAAACTCTATACAGGGTCACTGTGAGTCGTAACCACTTGATGGCACATAACAACTGACCACCTATTGGGTAGTAGCTGAACACTTAACTATAGTCCCACCAGAGCTCCTCTTTCCATCGCCAGCACCCCACTCCACATATAACCATACACCTGCCTGCTTCTGAAAGCCTAGCATCGTGTTACCTATCCTTGAATTGCATGTAAATAGAATCACATGAATATGTGTGTGTGTGCTTTCTTGCCGACCGCTTCTACTCAACATGTTGTTTGTGAACTCTGTCTACATTCAGTAAGGTGGCCAGGAGAGGGCTTTTGAGGGGCTGATTTCCATGAGTGTTTTCACGTGTAAAAATCCATTGAGCTGGATGAGCATGATTTATGTACTTTTCTGTATGTGAGTTATTTGTACATGTTCACATAAGAATTTATACTAAGAAGGGAAAGGTGAGAACAGACACTAAGAACACAGACTCTGGTATCAGACTGGCTGGGTTTGAATCCTGCTTACCAGCTGGGTCATCTTAAGTGAGTTGATCACATATAGGTGCCTCAGTTTTCTGCTCTGTAAAATGGGGGTAAGATCAAGACCCCACCTTATTCAGTCATTACATTCAAATGAGTTCATTTTGGTGAAGTGTTTGGAATATGGCTTGGCACAGTATAAGGGAAAAGAAAGCAAGATTGATTTCAATCCCTCAGTGGCAAAAACTGTTCTTAAATGAACAGTGAGTGGATGAGGGAGCTGGGCGCTGGAGCTGATATGTAACGTCAGTGTGAAGGCAACACGTACAAACCCAGTCATGTTATAACCGGACTCAAATACCACACACAGTTCTGCAGTCCGAGACGAGATTGTTCCGAAGTGGTGACCAAATCTTGATAAAGTTCAAAACAATAGCAAGAATACTCATTCCCCAGATCATACAGTGGTTGTCCTTCTGGAAAATTCACTGGGTAGGAAACCAAGCACAAAACACTCTGTGTTTATAGGCAAAACAGGTGGGAATTTGTCTCTGGTAGCTGTAAACCATAATTCAAATGCATCCTGCTTGAATTAGGATGTTGGCAAAGATTACTGAAAGCACCGTGGACTGCCAGAAGGACAAACAAATCTGTCTTGGGCGCAGTACAGCCAGATGCTGCTTAGAAGCCAGGATGGTGAGACCTCCTCTCATGTACTTTGGACATGTTATCAGGAGAGACCAGTCCCTGGAGAAGGACATCATGCTTGGTAATGTTAATGGAAAACTCTGAAGGAGATGGATTCATCCAAGGCCTCAAACAGCAATAATTGTGCGGATGACACAGGATTGAGCGGTGTTTTGTTCTGTTGTACAAGGGGTCACCGAGTATTTGATGACACCTAACAACAACAGGAGGCTTTCTGCTCCCGTAAAGACTTACACCCTCGGAAACCCTGTACAGGGTCGCTATGGGTCAGAACCGACTCAATGGCACTTAACAACAACAACAACTGCAAACCAGTGTTTCATGGGTGGGAATGTTAAATGGGATGTTTAAAAGTCAGGTGGGAGGCAGTCAGTTCTCTGTGGGACAGGAGATTATTGGCATCCCAGGCCTGTCCACCCACCTGGGAATTTCCCACAAAATTCCACATTGTCTGGGTGGCCCCACGGTTATAACTCCCTACAAGTTCCTTAGACAGGCTCTAGAGGGCAGCACGTCTCATGTGTGATAACCCATGGAAGTTCCTGTGATGAGCATTAGGGGGTAGGACTGTCCACATATGTGCAGACCACTTAAACCCCTACAAGTTCCTGCAACTTGCTCAAGGGAGCACCTCTGCTCATTCATTGTTAAGACAACCAAACCCTACAAGCTCAGCACTGCCTTCTTGCCTTATAACAACATCCTCCTCCACTCCCCCCACAAAAAAAACAAACACCTCACTGCCATCCAGTTCATTCTGACTCCTAGTGACCCTATAGAATTGGGTTGTTGTTGGTAGATGCCGTGAAGTCAGGTCCGACTTATAGTGACTCTGTGCGCAACAGAATGCAATACTGCTCAGTCCTGCCCCAGCCTCACAATTGTTGTGATGTTTAAAACCATCGCTGCTGCCACTGTGCCAATCCAGCTCATTGGGAGTCTCCCTCTTTTTCTGTTGACCTTCCAGTTTACCAAGCATGGTGTTCTTCTCCAGGGATCGGTCCCTTCTGATAACACGTCCAAATGAGAGACGAAGTCTCACTGTCCTGGCTTCTAAGGAGCATCTGTCTGTTTTGCAGCATAGATTTGTTTGTTCTTCTGGCATTCCGTGATACTCTTAATATTCTTCTCCAACACCATAACTCAAATGCATCAATTCTTCTATGGTCTTCTTACTCATCATCCAAAACTCTCACCTGCACGTGTACTTTAGTCCTCAGACTGACATCATTGCTCTTGAACATTTTAAAGAGGTCTTGTGCAGCAGATTTGCCTGGTGCAATACGTTATTTGATTTCTTCACTGCTGCTTCCAGGAGTGTTGGTTGTGGATCCAAGTAAAATGCAGTCTTTGACAACTTCAATCTTTTCTCCATTTATCATGATTTTATTTATTAGTCCGTTGGTGAGGATTTTTATTTTCTTTGCATTGAGGTGCAACCCATGCTGAAGGCTGTAGTCTTTGACCTTCATCAGTAAGTATTACAAATCCTCAGCTTTCAGCAAGCAAGGTTGTTATCATTTGCGTAGCACAGATTGTTAGTAACTCTTTCTCCAATCCTGATTCCACATTCTTCTTCATAGAATACCGACACCGTTTCCGAAGCTGTTTCCATCTTTATGGAAACAGACTGCCTCATCTTTCTTTTGCAGACTGCCTGGTTGTTTCAAACTTTTAACCTTTTGGTTAGCAATCGAACCACCAGGGCAGCTAAACCCAAAGAAATGGACTCAAGGTGGCAGTATTCATTATCCATTTACAGTATTGACACCCCGGGGCCCCTGCAGTTCCCAAGCCATGCTCTAGAGGGCAGCACTCACCCCTTACAAAATAAAAATCGTTCCTCCTTTTTAATGCCATACACAACCTTCTTCACCTCACATTTTTCACTTAATCTTTTAGAAATTGTTCCATAGCACTGTAAGGCACCATGTCCTTGTTGGGCGCTATCTAGTCAATTCTGACTCAGCAATCCTACGAGACCACACTGGGTTTCTTAGGTTGCCTTCTTTGCAGAAGCAGATATACTGGGTCTTTATCCCCCTCAGAGCTGCCTTTGGGCTCAAACAGAAGACTTCTGGTTAGCAACCAAGTCTTAACTATCGCACCTCTAAATCCCCTTTAACCTTCTATACATCATGGATAACTTAAACAACAGAGCAGGCATTGAGTAGAGATGATCCCCAGACACAAAATTACCCAGAATTCTCTTGATCTGTTTCTGAAAATCAGCCAGTGAAAACTCTATGGACCACAGCTGATTATGGAAAACGGCATGGGCCCTGGATTAATTTATCTGCTCATGTATCTTAAGGCCAACCCAGTGTGACAGGTGGAATTTTAAGCTGAGGGGTGGTGGCATAATTTGATTTAGTGTTTTTAAGTTAGATTGTTTGAGTTAGTTAGGATCACAAGTCAGGGATCCAATTTCTTCATTTCAGTGGACCGTTTTCTAGGGCAGTTTTAGGTTTGCAGAAAAACCAAGCAGAAAGTACAGAGAATTCCCATACACGACTCCTTCTCAGCACCTGTTTCTCCTATTATTAGCATCTTGACACAGTGTGCTACATTTGTAACAACTGGTCAGCCAGGATGGATACATTATTTATATTAATGTTAAACATCTGCCATCTCAACAGTTTGTTGTTGTTAGGTGCCATCGAGTCGGTACCGAC